AACCAAAAAATTGAAATCAAAGCGATCAATAGAAGTATCGCATCGTTGTTAAAGAAGTTGGTAGCAGAAACGCTACATGTTAAAGTGTGATTATATCACATTAGAACATGAAGAAGGCTAGTCTGTTTTAGAATTTAACTCTAAGATACCTAAGTCTAAACGTGCATCACATGATGATAGGTCATAATTTGAGTCTAGAGGTAGAGAGCAGGTGCACGATCAAGTACTGCTTACAGTCAATAAGTCTAAGAGATAGACTTGAAGGAATAAAGAAGTTATAATTATTACCTAGGATGAAGAGATGACGTATGGAGTCATTATACATCCTTGTTTCGTTGATGATTCCGGGACGTAATCATCCTAAGGGGGAGATAATTGTAACGCCCACAGATCCGGGCTAGTCAATTTAGAGGCAATAGGGTCAAAAATGACTTTTCGACAAAAGATTATTTAGAATGAATAGTCTTAACCAAGTTTTAGAATATGTCACAAGGTTTCCGTACATATAAAGAACGCCGAAATCCGAGTTATAACGAAGAAGTTATGGCCCGCCGAAGTTTTACGGCAAAACCGGCACGGCACCGGAAGACGTAAATAGTGAATTTACGATAGAAGACTTTTTAGCCTTAGCAATCTAAACAAAAGTCGTAGAATATGTTAAACTAAGAGCGTCGATAAAAAGAACGCCCAAATCTGACTTCGTATGAGGAAGTTATGATTTTTCTAAGATTCGGCTTAGCAGTGTACAGCCCGAAACTCGAATTTTAGTTCGAGCGGTTTTTGGCTTACGTGAAATAAATGAGAGTTGAAGATCTCATTAATAGGAACTCAACGGTAAAAAGACAGACGAAAACGGAGTCCGTATGAAGGAGTTACGAATTCTTCGCGGTCATTTAACAGTCTAAACGCCTCGTACTGTTAAATTTAAGATCGGTCGAGAATTAGCCGACGGAGTCAAAATGAAAGTTGTAGATATTATTTTTACCTACGCGTGGATATAAAGAACGTCAAAAAGGAGGTCGTATGTGAAAGTTACGGATTTTAGAAGTCGGAAGTGTGTTGTGCGAAAATGGTGATGTGGCACAATCTTGGCCATTGCTTTCTCCCCAAGTCTTGCCACTAGATGGTGACATGTGGCACCAAGTTCAGCCATTTTCACCCTATAAATACCACCTCTCCCACCCTCATTTTCTTCACACCTTTCCCATTCTTTCTTCTCTTTACTCTCTCTCTAGAACCTCTCTCTAGCCCCGAAATCCCCCGAAAAGCTAGGGAACCTCCCTAGCACGAGGCGGAAGCCCCGGAGTGCTCGACGGCTCCGAGAAGAAGAGCTTTTCGGCTCGAA